GAGGTTTTTTTTTTTGTTTTTGTTTTTTTTTTGTTTTGTTTTTGTTTTTCTTTTTTTTTGCGGAACCAGGGTTTGAGCTCAGGCCTTTGCGCTTGCCAGGGAAGCGCTTATTCCACTGAGCCATCTCCCTGGCCCCTGTTTTTTGAGGTTTTTTTGGGGGGGGTATCAGGAATTGAATTCAGGGTGTTGTGGTGCTTGTGTCACTGAGCTATATAGTCCTATAAATTCATAAATTTATGTTCTAATTTCTCAGTTTTCCTTTTTGATTATTTGCAACAGAAATATCTGAAAAAGATCAGGAGTCTTAGTAGTTGATAGTTAATTACTTAATAGTGACCTCACTAGAGAGATGTGTGGCGCGGCCACTAAGAAGCCAGAGAGTTGTGTCAGGCGTGAAGGCTTGCACTTCCCTCGCTGACTCAGGCACACTGAAGGAAGGGACTTGGAACAGAGTGCTGCACTGTCACCGGGACATGGAGGCCAAGTAGGACATGTTTCCAAAGAGTGGGGGTCCTTCCCTGGAGAAGAGTCCAAGTGACTCATTCATGTCCTCACTGTTTGGAGCATCTCCATTTGCAGAAAGGCTTAGGTTTGTTGTGTCATAGGAGGACACAAGAGCTCTGCAGTGAGGGCTGCGTTCTCCGACTCAGCCTCCGGGAGCACCGCCCACACAGCTGGCTGTGGAGACCCCAGGTCCTGGCAGTGTTTGCTGGTGTGCGCACAGCGCAGGCCCTGCTCCAGTGACACTTCTTCCCGGATTGGAAAGGAAGAGAAACTGCTCAGAACCATGTGAATCCTGGTCTTCTGAGTTCTTTCCTTTGAGCCAGAGTAGGGAAGACGTTGGCTCCTTTAGGCCTCTGGAGAAATGTCAAGGAAAGTTGATGTGTTCTGATCTGAGGACATGTGTTCTTTGCGTTTTGCTAAAACAGCATGGCAAGAAGCAAGCATTGGTTTAAAAACAAACAAAAAACCAATGCATATTAAACAAACAAATAAAATGTGTGCATATGTATTTGCACATATTTTATACTTGATACTTGGCCTAAGGAACACAAATGTGCTCAGAAAGGAAAATTGCTAATGGACTGATTGTTCCTCCTGAAGTCAGAGAGCATTGAATAAAGCAGAGAATGCTGCAAAGCCCTTTGGAGGGTAGCTCTAATGTGCAGTTTAAATTCCAAGAAAAAAATCAAACCAGGAAAAAAACTACTGCAGACATGAGTGATTCAACGACTTTCACGTGTAATTATGTTTTTTTGTTTTTGTGAAGATGACATTTTAAAGGATGATCAAATTGTTGAAAGTAGGAAATTCCCAGTGTAGACTCTGCTAGCTTTCAGTAGTGGATGGATGACTGGGTAGGTAGGGGTAGGTTTTTGCATGTGTGCATATGTGGTCCGTGCATGTGTATGTGTGAGGGTGTGAGGGAGAGAACACAAGTCCCCTTGGATAAGGAAGAATTGTCTCTGTTGGTTAGAGGGATGTGGGAGCTTTGCATCTGCCTCACTGCACCCTGTCTCACCTCTCTCCTTACTCTTTTCACCCCCTTCCTGACAGGGGCTCACCAGGCTGGGCTTGAACTTACTATGTAGCTCAGGCTGGCTTTGAACGCAGCAGTCCTCCTGCCTCAGCCTCCTGAGAGCTGGGATTATAGGTGTGCGCCATCACAACAGCTGGCACTCCATATTTTATCGCTCAACTACATAGGTTTCATTTCTGCTTTCTTTTTCTTTTTTGCGGAACCAGGGATTGAACTCAGGCCCTTGTGCTTGCCAGGCAAGCGCTTATTCTACTGAGTTATCTCTCTGGCCCCTATCTGCTCTCTTTAAAGATGGCAAGTTGAAGTTAATGTGGGTCACGTAATTTTTGTGTTTTTATTTCCCAGGTAGAGAAGATTATCTGTAATTTAAAGCCAGCTTTAAAACTCCGCCTGCGCTTCATCACCCACATCAGCAAGATGGAGCCAGCCGCAGTGCCCCCACAGGCCCTGAGCAGTGGCTCCCCGGCGCCACAGTCCAACCCGGTGCCTGCACCCCTACCGGGAGCTCAGTAAGCCCAGCGGCCAGTGAGGGTGAAGCACGAGGACTGGCAACCCCTAATCTGAACAAACACATGCTGTCTGATGCAGTCGAAGCAGTAGTGACGTTCAGGTTGTTTATTTTTGATTCAATTGTTGAATCTCTTGGCTGTAATTCCTAACTGCCCAGCTCTGTACAGTCTCTGAGACTCTGAATAAGCTGCTCCTTGGGTTCATGTTCCCAGCAGTGGCAGGGCTCCCGGCAACATGGAGCCCTCTGTGGTCATGTGACCTACTTGGCACTGGTAGCCCCTGTTTTGAGCTTTGTATTTTATTATCACTGGCATACTTGGTCTTGGATCATTATCTTAAAGATATTCCACCCATAGTTATCACAAGGGCTTTTGTACATAAATCCTCTCCAGCATAGCTTCAGAATAGAGGTTTTTATCATTCGAAGGACTAGATTACGTTGCATTGTAGGTCCAAATAAGGTTTCATATTTTTTTAAAATGGCTTGAAAATTTTATTGTAAATTTCCAAAAAAGTAGTCTAATGCTTTTATTAAGGTAGGTTGGTAGGTTTTTTTGCCTTTGTTTGGAACTTACTCTATGAAATGAGTTAGAAGTCATTTAAGGAAGCAATATCTGCCAATGCTTAAATTTAAATAAAATCATACTTCTGTGATTGATTCTCCAATTTTTTAAAAATTGTGTATGTTGATACCTGGCAGATGATAAAAGTTTTTGAATTTTTACAATCTCAAATTTTTTTTTTTTTTTTTTTTTTTTTTTTGTGGAACCAGGGATTGAACTCAGGCCCTTGTGCTTGCCACGGCAATGCTTATTCCACTGAGCCATCTCCCCAGCCCCTACGATCACAAATTTTTGAATATTTATATTTTTATATACAGTGTACTTTTGTGTTCTGTGGAGTTTATTAATGTTGAGAGACATTGTTAATTTTAGGGCAAAACGGCATGGCAAGGGGTGAAGTTGGTTGGCTGAATAAACACCGTGGTTTATTAAGGGTCAGGTTTGTGCAGGCGGCAGCCGTGCTGTCCAGGCACTGGCCACATCTGTGTGTTTCTCAGTTGGTGACTTGCATTGGCCTAGGAATTCTAAATTACTGATATTTTTTAAAAAGAATTAACCAATTACACTTAAAATTCTTCTAAATATATCTTTCCTAGACATTTGTTTTCCTCTTACTTCATGTTACTGCAATCATTAAGTCTTTGATTTGTAATATAAAGCCAGTTTAAATTTTATATAATGGTAAGATTAATGTGTCTACTTTTTTTGAGTCAGGGGCTCACTATGTAGTCCAGGTAGGGCTTGAACTTGCAGCAGACCTCCTGCGTCAGCTTCCTGAGTGGGATTACAGGGGAGTACCACCATGTCCTGTGAGGTTCTTCAGCACACAGCTGTTAGGAGGCTGAGGCAGGAGGATCGCTGGGAGTTCCAGGCCTCTTTATTTATTTATTTATTTATTTATTTTTGTGGTACCAGGGATTGAACTCAGGACCCTGCGCTTGCCAGGCAAGTGCTTATTCTTCTGAGCTATCTCCCCAGCCCTCCAGGCCAATTTAAACTAGACAGCAAGACCCTGTTTCAGCAAACAACCACCTCCCCAACAAAACAGTATGTTCAAGGTTTAGAAAAAGTAAAATAAGATCATCTAATATTAATAAAGTTGGAGGCTGCCTGAGCTGTGATTACCCATTTTACAGATGAGGAAACCAGAATTAGAACTTTAATATCTTCACTAAGATCTTACAGTGTTTGAGGGTGATTTCATGGACCTTAACTCTGTGCAATAATCCTGGACTGTGTGTGCGTGCGTGCCCGTGTCTTGTGTATACTTCAGAACATGTAGAGAACCAAGTCTTTTTATAAAGAGTTTATTACAAAAAACACATCTTTTATTTATTTATTTATTTATTTTGGGGGAGATACCAGGAATCAAACTCAACCTTGCACTTGCCAGACAGACTTGGTACCACTGAGCTATACCCCCTGGCAAAACCACATCTTTTAGCTGGGATTGGTGGCACATACCTGTAATCCCGGCATTCACGAGGCTGAGGCAGGAGGACTGCCACAAGTTCCAGGTCAGCGTGGGCTACATGGTGAGTTCAAGGCCTGCATGGACTAGGTAGTAAGCCCCCCCCCCCCCAGTCAAATCAAATCTTTTAAACAGCATGGACGAATGGTACATTCCAGGTTGAGTAGCCTTGTGTTCTAATATCAGGAGACTGGCTGGGGGGGGAGGCTATTTCCATTTGTGTGTTTTAAATGCCAGCACATTTTAAATTGGAAATTAATGTATGCTTCTTCATTGAAGGATAAGGTTCTTTTTTGGTTTTTGTGGGGTTCTTTTTTTTTTTTTTTTTTTTTGACAAAGTAGGAAACAAAATTTTTAATGTCACAAAAATTAGAACTGCCAAATTTTGAACTTAATATTAACAGGAAGTTGGTGGAGTTTGTGGTGCATGGACACAGAGGTCACTGTTAAGACCAGGAACTCCTCTGAGTGAGGTCCCCTGGGGCTCGGGGGAGCCAAGGGATGTTGGCGCATCTGCCCACAAAATGCCAAGAGCCAAGCCCTCTCCTGAGCGCAGTGGTTTATTGAGCATAAATTACACCCACAGCGAGACGAGGGGCGCTCGCCCGCGGCGGGAGCAGGGCGCAGAGGTGGACCTTCCACCAGGCAGACACTGCAAGAACATGGGCTTGGACAGCACCGAGACTCTGGCAATCCAACGACCCAGACAGCCAGAGCCACATGGTCTCGGACAGGCAGTGACAGCGCCCTGGGGAGAGTGCGCGGGCTCCGCTGAACTGGACGGAAGCGTACTTTAGAAAGCTTTCGCTGTCAGTCCCACGAGGGCCCACAGGGTAGGCTCCGCACAAGGCCAGAAGTCCCCCACGCAGGTGGAGCGTCCCCCCCTCATCATGTGCTAGCTTAGACTGAAAGCTTCAGAGGACATCGTCATGCAAGTTGGGGAACAATTTGGGGGAAAAAAACATCTTTGGGAGGCTAATTACAGGCTTAAATAAATTATTAGGTGGCTAATTATGTTACTAGCTGTGAGGTTTCCGTGTTTCCACATTTACTTGGGGGGTGAAAAGTAGTCCTTCTGAGGGTCGTGGTTACCCTCGCGAGCCACCCCAAAGCAAGACAGCGTCACTGCCACCGCTGTGTTCACGGTCCGAGTGACCTCCTCTGGGGTCTTCCCCAGCGCTGGGTTCACCTCCATGATGTCCAGCCCGGAGAGCAGCCCTGCAAGCCAGCACAGCGGGAATGTACTTGGAATAGCTCTTGACTTGTTGTTGTTGTTGTTATTATTATTTATTTTATTTATTTATTTTTAGGGAAGGGTCTACAGGGTATTCAGGCTCTCACTGCTAGATCTGACTTGATTACAGCCTCCTAAGAGCTGAGATTACAGGCGCGAGCCACCACGCTTAGTCTCAGTCGAGGCTCTGTGTGCCCTGGGGGCAAGGCCAGCACTGCAAGCCTGGGGATCGAATCCCCCGGCCCCTGTGCCTGCTTGCAGGTACTTTAATCCGCTGAGCTATTTGGCAGGCCCTGCGCTCGGTGTAGACCCGAAAGGTTAGCTTGTAGCAAAGAAACGGTGACCAGTGGGAAACCCTTCAGCTCCTGCATAGTGCCTGGAGTGCTCTACATCCCTCAGGGCTTGCTTTGCACGTCAGGGAGCCATGAATAAAAACAGCCCCAGCTCACGCTTGCTGCCTGTTGCCTCGGATTGTCACCTACCTGTCTTGTAAATCTCTTCTGTGATGTAGATGCCTTCCCGGTGAGATAGGCCTCCCACGACAGGTGTGCCGGTAGCAGGCGTGATGGAAGGGTCCAGCCCGTCCACATCAAAACTCAGATGAATTGGCCTTTTCTTTCTTTTAAAGAGTGGGAAAGGATTTCACTTTAAAGTTGGCGGTATATTTGGGCAAATACAGACTGGTTGGGTAAATACAACTGTAGGTAAATACAGTTACTAGCCTGCTTTATAAAATGTAACTTGGTGAAGTTCCAGGAGTTCCCTGGCTGGCCGCAAGGCCGCCCTTCTCCCACGCGCATGCGCACAGGCGACGTACCTTCCTAGTAGATAGGCCAGCGTTTCCTCCATCACCTTGCCGATTCCCAATCGGTCTACTTCAGTCATTGAAAAATACTTGATACCCAGGGTTTTCACAATGCAGCTATAAAAGATCATCTACAGTTAGAAGGGCTGTGTCCTGCTGTTACTGTCTAAAAAAAGATGGACATGGTCAAGAATGTAAGACATTTGAGTTCTGTGAATTGTATGTGTATATGTGATAATCTGTATTTATTTTGACAACAAATCATCTCAGATGTAAGTTGCCTGAATATTTATATGTAAATAAATACAGGGACACATATTGACTTGTTTAAATTACTTTCTCAGAGATCTGGCCTGTAAGCATATCTAGTACACAACTGAATAAAAGCAAAGGCAGATCCCATTAAAGGGTAAACTCACTGCTCCCCAGGGTCCACGTCTCTCAAGCCAATGTACACGATGTCCTTGGCAGACAGGCAGGGTGTCACCCAGGAGAAGCCCGGCACCTCTGGGATCTGAAAGGGAAGTGAACAGGTAGGAGGTGTGCTTGGGGCGACGTGTGGTGCTAAGGACCCTGCCAGACTGCACATAGCTTTAGAATATAAATTTAGAGGAAATCACATCATAATCACAAAATTAAGACAGTGAGTGCCTTCATGCTGCCTGTGGCCCAGACCTGAGCCCTGCCTGCCCAGGGATCCACCCTTCTGACCCCCGGGCCTGCTTGTGCCCTACTTAGGGGCACCTCTGCCATGCTTGCAGGACAGTCCTGATCCCCAGAATGGCCCAGAGTAGCGGGGGAAGGTCAGGCAGTCAGGGTTGCTCTTAACACCACGCCCTGACTGCTGCCATCCAGTATGTCCTGGAGCCAACTTGGAGACATTTCACAAATTTAAGCAAAGTCCCTTGATCATCAGCTAGAAAAGATGTTATTTTGAGCATGTTTTAGAAGGAGATCTGAATCCCTTTGAATCATAAGGGCCAATACATTATAGCTATAATAATTAGAAGTGGTTTTTATTGATACACTACAGCATCAATCAAAATTATCAAGTACAAGGTTAAATCTTAATCTAGCATTTTATATCCTAAAGCCCAGTTTCTAGGGAGCAGGGAGAAAGTCCTTCCTCTTATGATTTCAGATAAGTGCTTTGCACATGACCACATTAAATAAGAAATCATTGTGTCTGCCCTTAGTCTCTTAAAGGTCTATGATGTAGTGGCCACACTAACAGAGAAAGGCCTGAGAAACCCTGGGGAGACCTGTTTCTAACTTGTTAATAAAAGCTTACTCGTTGCTGCACTAACGGGTAGTTCAAAAAGTCAAGCGGCCAGGCATGGCAGTGCACACCTGTCATCCCAGCCCTTCCAAGGCTGAGGCAGGAGGATCTCCACTTTCCTTAGCCCATCTTGCTTGTGTGTTCTGAAGAAGATGGTTTGAGATTACCCAAGAATAAAACAGCATAAGAGGTTTCCTGCTCGCAGCACTTGGGCGGCAGGGGTAGGAGGACTGCTGTAAGTTCATGCAAGCCAGCCTAGGCTATGAAGTGAGTTCATTGCCACCCTAGCTACTTAGTAAGCCTGTCTCAAAACAACAAAAGATGCTTCCTGCTGCCCTCCCAGCTCCTGAGCTTGTGCTACTTAAGGGTGCTGGCCAGCTTCACCTTTCCTTTTTTTCCCCTGTATGTTAGGGAAGGGTCTCCAGGGTGTTCAGGGTATCACTACTTGTAGTAACTTGTAGTGATTCTCCTGTTCACAGCCTCCCAAGTAGGATTACAGGCACGTGCCACCACTCCCAGTCTCAATTACTGTCTCAGCTGGCCCTGCGGTGGGGCCAGCATGGCAAGCCTGGGGATCAAACTGCAGGACCCTGTGCCTGCTTGCAGGGGCTTTAATCTGCTGAGCTATTTGGCCGGCCCTCACCTTTCCTTTCAGTTCCTTCAGGAGGAAGGACACAGGTTGGCCGTGCAAGTTCCCGCTGGTGGTGGTCACAGGAGTGTTGATATCTGTGTGAGCGTCGACCCAGATGACACCGAGGTCCGGGTGGACTCTGGCATGGCCAGAGATGGTACCAATCGCCAGGCTGGGGGGAAAGCGCACGTGTGTTCAGAGCAGTAGCTGCCTCGTGTGGCTGCTGGCTTCTCCAAGCAGCTGCTTCTGATGGCTTTAGAGGGCACCATCAGACGCTTCTGACAACAGGACCACCATTCTGCCAGCTGGCGGAAGCCTGGGCATTAGTATTTACTGAAATGTCGCATGAAATCCCAGGTGATGGCCTAACCAACTACCAAATCATATAAAACTGCTACCCACATAAGAAGCTCCCTGTGTTAAGTTCTTGGCTTAAATCTGGCTCTTTGATGATACCCACATCTCTTTTGGTAAAGACTTAATTCTCTCCATGGATTTATCACAAAATCCCTCTGTAAAATGCAGCTCTTTCACTTGCAGAGCCAGGAGCACCACTTAGCAGTTCCTGGAGTTCACGGGGCTCCACGCTTCTGCTCTAATGGCCTGCCCTCCCCCTGCCTGCCAGACCCTTCGGGACAGGCTCCAGAACTGACAGGGTCTGTCCAGTCATCCCAGCCTCCAAGCCTGTTCCAGAATGGAAGACGTGAGCACTACAGTGCGCAGAAGTGAACAGGTTGGAGTTCACTGGACAGCAACTGTACCACAATGGGAGGGAGACACAGAGACACGAGGGCAGGGGACGAGGAAAGAGCTGGGAACAGCTGTGGACAGACGCAAGGGCAGGGGACAAGGAAAGAGCTGGGAACAGCTGTGGACAGACGCAAGGGCAGGGGACAAGGAAAGAGCTGGGAACAGCTGTGGACAGACGCAAGGGCAGGGGACAAGGAAAGAGCTGGGAACAGCTGTGGACAGGCACTGACTCCCATCAAGAAGGTAACCAACGACTACTGCAGTCATGTAACTCAGGGAAAACAAAGGTGCTGTGGTCTCCCACTTCTGATCATGTACGTGTCATCCAAAGTATCGTGAACCTGCCAGGTATGATGGCGCTTGCCTATAATGCTTGCACCCTGGAGGCAGAAGGGTTTGCTAGGAATTCAGAGCAAGGCTGGGCTACATAATGGGGCCCTGATACAAAAAGAAAAAAAAAATATGAACTCTCGGATTATCAAAGGGAAAGAAATCATGCTTGGAGATCTGGGTATTGCTTGCTGTTTCATTTTCCTTCATGTTTCTTCTTGTCACTTATAATTTCCACTTAGAAATGTTTGCACTTACAAAAGTGGAACCTCTTTTTTAAAAAATTAATTGTTCTGAAACTTAAACAAAAGAAATCTTTTATTTATTTGGTCCAAGATCTCACTATACAAGGCTGGCACAGCATGCAGAGCTGGGGATTGAACCAGGGTCCTTGCATTTGCCAGGCAGGTGCTTAGACCACCGAGATATCTCAGTGGGCCATGCTTGCCTATAATCTCAGTGCTGGGGAGGCTGAGACAGGAGGATGACTATGAGTCTGAGCTACATAGGGAGACCTTGTACCAAATACATAAAATTTTAAACAAACAAACAAAGACAACGATCCAGAAAGTGGAACTTTGGAGCTGCAGGCTCAGCTCTGCAGCTCTGTTGCCAAGCCCTGATTGCACCTAGCCCTGGGAGCCAATGAGCTCCATTCGGCAAAGCTGCTCTCGATAGTGAGGCTGCCAGCACAGAAGTGATCCCTGCAATGTCACTGGAACAGTGAAAATTTGGGAATGACCCAAATATCTGACAATATGATGATGCATATGTCATTCCTTGATGAAAAATTGTGTGTCAGTCAAAAACAACGGTGATGGGGGCCAGGGAGATAGCTCAGCAGTCTGAGCGCCTGCCTAGCAGACACAAGAACCCAGGTTCGATCCCTGGTACCACATGCATGCCAGCCCCAGAATACCAGGTGCACCTTGCCGGCCCAAAACCAGGTGTGGTGGTGCACGCCTGTAATCCCGGTGCTGGGGAGGCTGAGACAGGAGGATCACTACGAGTCTGAGCTGCGTAGTGTAACCCTGTGTCCAATAAATAAATAAAAAGAATTTTAATTATGACTACGAGGATTTTATGCATACTATGAAGTAACAAGGAAATCTATGATGTAGCTTAAGATAAAGGATACATTGTACACACACACACACACACACACACACACACACACAAATTAAACAAAATCATTACAAGGAAAAGAGATACCATGAACAAACCATAACAGATTTTGAATCTTGGTTGAAAAGGTTCTTAGAGAAATAAAATTATCACTGTTACCCTTTTCTTCTGTAGGGTGTGTGTGTGTGTGTGTGTGTGTGTGTGTGTGTGTGTGCACTTTCAAAAGTTTTATAGTGGGAAGCACATACTTTTCAATCATGAACCAAAATAAGTTGTACGCATTACCAGTATTCATGTGCAATAAGCTATGCATTTCCTCAGTGCCTGTTTATTTAGAAATGTGAGCTCGTACCCGATATTGTGCTGGCGTCCATTCGTGTATTTTCTGCTGCACTAAGAATACTGTATGATATAAAATATTTGTTTCCATAATAAATAACCCGTATGTACAATGTTGTTGAAAGGCAGACAGTTTAGTGTGGTATCGGTTAGGGCTCCCTGCCATCCCCCTCACACTTCCTTTCCTCCCTCATGCCCAACCCGGTACGGCACCCACACGACACCTGTGGTCTCCGCCCATCACGACGCTGACTCTGCCGCTCTTCTGCACCTCGGCCACCACGCCTGCCAGCTGCTCTGTGGCTTTCCCCACGGTCCTGGGATTCTTCACAATTCCAAAGGGGACGTCATTAGGGACATCCGCGAAGGACAGGTCCCCATAGTCCTTCACATCGCACTCTACCGTGAAACAGAAGGGTTCCAGTTATTAAAACATCTTGCTAGACAGTGTGAGGCGGATGATTCCAAACAGAAAAAACTAGAAGCAAAGCAAATTCTGGGCAGTCGGTGAACAACATGAAGAGCAAAATCAGGGCTCCTCCCTGCCACCTCCAGCCCCCACTAGGTGCCAAGCCCGGTGCCACCTTAGTCCGTCCAGTTAGGCAGGCACCAGGTGCGATGCCAGTAAGTTTCTGAGCTGGGCCTGAGAAGACACCTCGGTGCCTGTCAGCACGTGTGCTTTCTGTCTTCCTAACATCAGGACATTTGGGTTCTTCAATGGATGTTAACAGGCCAGGGGCAAGGGTACCTGCCTTTTCCCCATTTTCTGACTCTGAACCATGACAGGCCCTTGGGTTTGACCCAGTCCGTCAGCAGCTCAGCTTCCTTCTGTGCAGATCACCAGCCTCGGGGCACTGGTGTGCTGGGGGACGTGCTTACCACGGAGCCTCGAACCTTAGGGAATGCAGGAAGTAAAACTTTCATACTTTTAAGAAGAAAAATTTGCAGGTAACTGAATGCCTAAAGATCTGGATATGGCTCTGGAAAAGTCCTGCAAATGGCTTCAAAACTAGAGCTTCATCCAGGAGCAGCGAAGCAGCTCGTAAACCCAACATCTTGGGAGGCTGAGGCAGGAGGGTCACGGGCCTGAGCCCAGTCTGGGCAGCTTAGCAGCTTCATCTCAAATATGAGAAAAAAGACTGGGGATACAGTTAAGTACCCAAGGCCCTGGGTTAGTCCCCCAAAAGCACAAAAAGTGAAAATAAGAGGGGCTGGGCAGGTAGGTCAGTGGGAAGGCCCTGGGTTCAGTCCTTTGTACTGCAGTAATAGCAATAAATAATACTAGGTGGAGATGTAGCTCAGTGGGAAGACCGTAGGTTTGATTCTTAGTATTGAAAAATCCACAAACAATAACTGGGGTTTCCTGTAAAACTGACAGGGGCAATTTAGTGCCCTAAACTACAGGGCTTTTGTACTGCACCCCATTTTTAGGTCTTTTACCATTTTTAAAATTTTGAGACAAAGTCTCACTGAGTCACTAAGCTGTCTAGCTGGACTGGAGCTTCCTGGCCTCCTGTCTCAGCCTCCCAGGTGTGTGCCACCACACCCCACTGAGGAGGTCTAATTCCGAGCCCCTGAAATGCACGGGCCAGTGAGGGTGGGAAACAGCTACTGTCCTGTACCCACTGGGGAGGTGGACAGTCAACAGCTGAGATGCTTGCGCAGCTTTTTGGTCAGCTCCCGTCCCAGCCTGGACGTTGAGGCTGTGCTCTCTCTTGCTCTGTTTGTCTTTCCAAAATTTCCCACCAATGTAATCACCCAGCAGGCAGCTTTTTGTGTGTCTGGCCTTTCATGAAACATGGAGTCAGTCCCCCCTCACTGTATGGCCTGACCATGTTTTGTTTTTGTTTCCATATTTTCTTTCTTTCCTTTTTTTTTTTTTTGGAGACAAGGTCTCCCTGTGTAGCCCAGGCTGGCCTCAAACTCTTAGCAAACCTGCTGCCTCAGCCTCCCGAGTGCGGGGATTACAGGCATGCGCCATCACTGTGCTTAGTTCCTTTTTTTCTTATCACAAATACAGCTGCTACACTCAAGTACAAGCCTTTATATGGAGGTTTGTTTTTTTCTCAGACAAATATCACTAAGTAGAGCTACTAAAGCGAAAGACATTTACTGAAGAAACTGCCAAACCGTTTTCCTCAGTGACTACCACTTCGTGTTTCACTAGAAATAGATGAGGGTTTCAATTGTCCCCCAAACGTCCTCCATTCCTAGGGCACTGCCTGGCCGTGGTGCCCAGCCCCCTGCCCACCACCTAGTGCCGCCTCTTTCGCGCCTACGTGCACCTGTGCAGTAGCCCAGCAGGAAGATAAGCCGCCCGTGTAATGCTCCCCAGATAGCAGTGCCACCTGAGCATTCCGGAGTGCGTCCTGCTTTTGACAGCCAGGGCCACTTCTGTGGTCTGAAGAGCACTCTGGATCCATCCCGTGTTCCAGAGCAGGGAAGAAGCCTGGCTGATTTCTTTTTGAACTTAAAAATTACTTGTTTGGCCAGGGAGATGGCTCAGTGGAATAAGCGCTTCCCTGGAAAGCGCAAGGGCCGGAGTTCAATCCCTGGTTCGAAAAAAAAAAAAAAAAAAATTACCTTGTTCTTTCAGTTTCTGCAGCAGGCCAGCTCTTCTCAGTGCTGAAGGGCCTTGTTCTACCCCTCCTCGAGGCTAGACAATCAAAACATAAAAAACTGGTCTACGTCCTGACCATCAGAAGCACATAGTGAGAACTTTTTCATCATTTAATCATCGTTACTGTTTCAGCTCCTCCAGAGGCCCCACATCTGGAGGACAATTACTATCTCGTGTAATTTTCCCCCTAAGGTAGATGGAATGACGCCGACAGCTGGCACACAGCTAGTGAGGGGCAGGCACTTGGGATCATCCCCGATCTTGTTGCATACATACTGAGCCCTGGGAAATCCTTCTGCCTTATGGGAACAGGACGAGGGGAAGCCGGCAGTGTTTATCTTTGTGTCTCTTGTAAGGCAACAGCAAATGTGGACATGGAGGCCCAGCACACAGATGGCAGGGTAGATACTCCCAAGTTGGGCAGGACGGCGAGGCTCCTCCTGGAGCTCAGCCAGGCAGCAGGAGTAAGCAGTCAGCACACTAGGATGCTTGAGGGAGAAAGTACAAACTGGGGAGCAGCTTGGACAAAGGCTCCAGGAGGCAATGAAGCCTACAGGCAAGTCTTTAAAGCAGAAAGTTAGGGACACAGGGAAAACCATCACCTGGGAAAGGAAAGCACAAATAAGACCAACCCTGGAAGCTCAGGTCCTGACCTACTCTAGCAGCCCTGAGCTACACTTCCTGCCCATGCACCACCAGGAAGCTGTTAGGCTTCAGCCTGCCTGGGCCTTTTAGATACTACTTTCTAAATACAGATACTGAGAATTTGTGGCTGTCAGATGAGAGGACGTGCCAGAAGATAAGTGTGTATCTAAGCTCATAGTTGGAGCCCTGCCATAAGAAGTCAAATGAGGGGGTGACGTGCCGTGTGGGTGAGGCAAATAATCCATGAAGATTCCTGTCCCTGAAACAGGCATGGTGGCGCATGCCTGCAACCCCAGCGCTGGGGAGGCTGAGGCAGGAGGATCACTAGGAGTCTGAGCTGTGTAGTTAGACCTTCTAATAAGTAAATAAAAAATAAATAATTTTTAAAAAAATTTTTAAAAGAATCTTGTCCACAGTGACAAGGGACCCCATGTGTTCTGCCTGGCACATTTTCTTCCTCTACTCCACTTCCTTTTTGTTGTTTTATTTTTTGATCGACTCATGATATTTGTACATGTGTGAAGCACAGTGTGGTGTCCTGATGCACGCAGTGCACTGTGGGAGAGAGGACTCTGGGTAATGAGCGTATCTGTCACCTCAAACTTTTATTCTCTATGGTGAATTCATCCAAAACTGTGTGTACTACCACTCTCTTCCATTCTCCTGTCAAATAGTTGCGGTAGCTCCTTACTTGACCCTTGGTAGTGTGTTACTTGGTTTATATTTTGCCTTTAGTTTTGTGTCTGCTTTTGTTTTTTCTCTGTGGTCAGACTGAAGTCTCAACTTCTTTACCCCTGGGCCGCCGTATGTTGGTGTGTAGTGCTCGCACACAGCACATTCTCTAGCATTAGCACTTGGATAAAGCCCCATGGCCCCTTTCGCCCTTTCCCTGTCTGGAGTTAGAACAAGCCACATAGATCTCTTAGGTGACACTGCATTTGCTGTAAGACAGTCAGAACTTCTCAGACATTTTCTAGCTTTGCTTTCTGTGTGCTTGGCTCAAGCTGCTTCTCATGGTTTTTGTGTTTTTGAGAGATCTCACTAGGTAGTCCAGGCTGGCCTTGAACTCACTATGTTCAACCACATTGGCCGTTGAAATTGTGGCAACCCTCCTGCCTCAGTCTGCTGAGTGCTGAGTTTACGAGTGTACCACCACACCTGTGCGTCGTTGGTCTTCCCTCATTGCTTAGTTTATCTTCCCTCATTGCTTAGAAATGGCTTTGTGATTACTTGGTGTGCTTCACAGACTTTCTAAACAAAGCGCAGTCCCTCAGTGGCCGCAAGTATAAGATCCACCAAGTTGCGCTGTCTGCAGGGGCAGGGCCAGCTCTGGAGGACAGGCATTTGAAGCCAGCAGTCTGCAGGTCTAGGCTGTGTGGTCTGAGCAGATTACCAAGGCCCTCTGAGCCTTAATAATCAAGAGAAAAATAGCACCAGCCCCCCCACTATGTACCAACCGCCTTGCATGGGGCCAGGCAGGGGTATAGCTCTTCCTCAGGCCCAACCATGTGGTCATCTACCCTCTATTCTCTTGTAAATGTAACCTTTTTTAAAAGTAGAGACAAATTCTTCTTAGTTACCCATTTTTCACCTCCATGGTTTAGCATAGAATAATTGCTCTCAAATCAGCCTTTACAGTCATGAGATAGTAAGCTTCAGTGTTCTTGTTTTTGCTTTTATTTTTGAGACAGTAGTTCAGGCTGCCCTTGAACTCGCTGTATTGTATTCTAGGCTGGTCTTGAGCTTGTAGGGATCCTCCTGCCTCAGTTTCCTGAAGGCTGGGATTACAGGGGTGCAGAACCACACCTGGATGATAAACATTTCTATGGTCATGTTTTAATAGGAGAAGAGCCGGGGTGGGGGCAGAATTCTTGAGAGTGGGAAATATATCAAGCTGTGTTTTAACTTATTATCTCCTGAAGGGGCTGTTAGGGCTCTGCAAGGCCCAGGAGCCACAGCCTGTTCTCCTGCCTCTTTT